ATTCTTCCTCTCCGGGAAGAACCAAATCATGACCAAATAGAACAGACAACCATCAGGCAAGCAAAACTGAATCTGTGTAGAACATCTCGAATCGATAAGAGTGGAGAGAAGTAAGATAGTGTGAATAACGCAAAGTTTAGAGAGATGAGGGACATATCCATCTCTCCAACAAGCCCCCGTCCTGCCCTTGTCCTCAATGAGGCAGCTTTCCCAATTGTCATAGGTGACGGAGGTGTGTGTGCATGTGTGTGTTTGTGTTTGTGTGTAGAGGGTCTCTATCATCACTGTGGTGGGAGATGACAAGAGTGACACACTCCAGCTTCTGTCACACAGTAGGTGTTTCTCCATAGAGACCCAGGTGTCGTGTCTCAGATCTTTTCGGCTTCATAAAAACACTGCTTTAGCCAGTGCATCAATCGATGATATACTCCATACGCTTTAACTGCTGCCACACACAGTCACTTTAGTGCTCTGTGTTAAAGGCCATGACAATTTAGATCAAATTTAAGAAGAATTGTTCTATATTTCTACGGCGAAAAAAATCATTAAAATCCGAAAAAGAAACAAAAATATTCATAAACAATGTATTGCCAGGTTATGAAATTGTATGATTTACGCACTGGAACTTGAAAAAAAAGCAAGCTGCTATCAGTACGGGACAGCCAAGACATTTGTAACTTTTGTAATTCTATTAAAACTACAAGATTAAAAAATAAGTTTTCTTTGATTTAAAAAATATATATATATATAGTAGAAAAATAAATCCCAAACACGACAATTGAAGACTTGCATTAATATTTCCAAATTAATTCAATTAAAATGCAATGTTAAATCTGATTTGTACAGAACATATAATAAAAGTCCAAGTTTAACCGGCTGTAATCAGTGAGAAATATATATGCAGCTGAAATATGTAAATATGATTAAGTTCACTGCAAACTAAAATGTAATGTTTCAATCAAATCAACAGTAAAGGTTATTTCAATCAGAATTCCTGAGATTAATGTAAAAGAAAACTTAAAAGAAAAGCATGCCAGGGACTCATCCTAACTTGTACCTCTCTCATTTACCCCGCATCCCCCTGTCCTTGCCTCCCACCAAAGCAAAGTGCAGCGCTTAAACAGAAGCATTTAATTCATTACATCATTATGTCATCTCATACTAATCTGCGCAGTGGCCTCCACTGCTTTGACATGCAAATGGTTTAGAAAAACGTCTGGGGAGGTAAGGGGGAGGAGGGAGGGGGCAAAACAGCAATCATCACGTCTTGTCAATGGGGTGAAAATATGCCCTGAAGCTGCTCTACCATGTTTTTCGTCCCTGCTCTTTAACTGTATTTTTCTATCTGTTTTCTTTTGCCCTACCCAGCTCTTCTTTCACTTTCATTGTCAGTGAATGCCACAAACAAAGCAGCGTCAAGATCACACCAAACGCCGGCAATCTGTTGAGGATCAGGCTCCCTATGGAGAACATATAAACAATAAAGCGTGTGGCGCACACTCACATCGAGCCCCCTCCCATTTACACATGCCCCTCATCTGCATATTCATAAAAAGGCCCCTCTGGCTTTCCCTCATCAGTAACCCCTCCCCACAGCCTCATCAGCACACGCCGGTTTGACTACGGAAAGGCAGGCGGGCTGGCAACGTGTGCCGGCTGAGACCACACACACGCACATCAAGATGATACACAAACACACACAAAATCAATTGTTTTGCACATGCCGTATACAAATGTGCAATGGCAGAGTAAACAGAGGAATCAGAAAGAGAGTTAGTGAGATCTGGTGATGTGAGCGCTGGCCATGCTCATCTAATTTCCACCCCTCCTTCTCTCCCCTCCCTCCCCTTCTCCCCCCTCCTCTCGTCTCTCCCTCCTCTCATCATCAGGTACCTGGTGACGAGCGGCCCGTGATAATCCACAGCCTCTAACCAATCAATCAGCAGCATCGTAATCAGCAGCGTAGAGAGGGAGAAAGAGAAAAAAGCCCATAACTTACCCTGGGTCGCCTCCAGTCTGCTCAGCACAAGTAGAGGTCTGGTCAGGGCTTTGGCTGCAGCTATGAGGACTAGTTCACCAGAAACATGAGACATGTATTCAGGATTCTATCCTCAAGCCTTGTTTTTGTTTTTTAATCTAAATTGATATTTTTCACTGCATCATAAACATGTAACCAACATATAAGGCTCTCCCCCCTCCCTTTTCCTATTTCAGTCTGACTCTTCCTCTACCTCTCTCTCTTCCCCCCTCACTCCCTTCCTGTCACTCTCTCTCCCTATTTCCCTCTCTCCTCCCTCAGTGTCTGCCTGTTGCAACAGTGTGGACCTATACACCCCATACAGTGAAGAAATATATTAAGAAGCATGCATCTCTGTGCAGGAGATAGAAAAGGCTCTCTGGTGTGATATCCTGCAGATCTGCTGGACCCTGTGTGTCTGTGTGTGCTTGAGTTGGGGGGTGGTGGGAGGGAGTAGAGAAAGCAAGGGAGGGTCAAAGCTAAATGTTCTACAAAGAACAGGGGGACCAAATTGACTTTTCTTTTTTTTCTTTGAATCAAACATATTCCCTCCCTCCTGTTTCCCTACTATTCAGTGCCCCCCTCTCCTACCATCCAACCCCCCAAACCCCCATGTTTCCCCCACCCCATCGTAAACCTCCCTCCTTCCTCCCCATTTCTGCTCATAGGCATTCCCTCTCCAGACATCAGCATCCTTTGAGGGGGTTAGCTGTCTCTCGGAAGAGGAAGAGGTAACGCCGCCTAGCAGCCTTGTACATTTTGCCTTGAGGGTGAGATAGCTGAAAAGCCATGTGCTATCATCATTTTTGAGGTGTGCAGGAAAAGTAAAGACAAGAAAAACATACTGGTTTTACACCGCTCCCCAAAAGATCTGATGCTGAATTTAGCATAGGATTACACAAAACCTCTCTTCTGAACCTCTGAACAGAACCCCCATTTCTACAGACTCTGTGATTCCTCTTCTCCCCCTCACCAAAGAGCGAGATGTAGAAACTCCATACAACCTGCAGCTAGGGCATGGTGCCTAAGTTTAGTTCTACATTAGAGCACAACCAAACAGGCACACAGAGAATAAAATGCAGCAACATTGCAACTGTTCAAGCAGTCTCTCTGTGGAGATATACCAACAACAATACTCATGCACTCAGTGTTTTTGTTTCCCTATATATGCAAAGACCTCTGTCTGACCGTCCTGTTGCATCAGATGGAAATGCTTGGAGGTCCAGACAGCATATACTAGTACAGATGAACCCTGTACACTTAGAAGGCCCTATTGGCCTTATGTAGACAGGAGCAAGGTGCTGGCTAAGTACTGCGCCAAGAGGGAAAACACAGCCCAAATAAAACATAACAATGCCTGCCCCCCCCCCCCCAGTCCCAAGACTGTGGCCATCCATCTCTTACTTATATTAAGGCAGTGGTGAAAGAGCGATGGGAGGTAAGAGTGAAAAAGGAGAGGAGAGAGTATCTGATGGTACCGTCAGCGTTCTATCATGTGAGCTGTGTTGTTTTATTAATCGTGTGTATTTCTGCAGCCCACACCCCTCAACTACGATTCTCCTTTGCCGCCGTGACCCAGAGACCACACCCCTCCACCCTTGTCCTCTCTACGAGTGTTGCACATGCGCACACAAGTCTTGCGAGCACAGAGCCCACCAATTTACTCTTGCTGCTTCTCTCCCAGTCCAACCTGGGGAGAGTACCCCCCCCCCCCAGTGAGGGGAGGAAGGTGGTCTTCACCTGCAGAGCACATGACTGCACAGGGATCCATGGCGAACACCTTAACGCTGAGAAGCCCAAAGAAGATAGAAATACACACACACTGAAGACAACAGATAACGCCACAATGCCATCTGAATGTATGACTAGCCTACACAGAGTGAATGTCATTATAAAACTCCAGAGATGAAACACTAGAGGGGTAGAGAAGATAAAGTGCACTGGTGTACCATGCTAGATGAGAAGCCTCCATGCTCTCAATGAGGAGAGACAGAGAATTTACGCAACATGGCAGTACTGCGTTGTAATGCATCAAGCCTACTGAGAGCAGCACTGTCACTACCACTCTTCATCATCAGCGGGAGCAAAACACCAGCCATGCATTGTCTTTGGGGCAGAAAAAAAGTGTGCGTTTGTGAGGGTGCAGTGTTCAGGCATGCAAGGAGTACATTTATGTCCGTGTTATTGTGTGTGCGCACATGTACTGTGTTTGCATGTTTGAATGTGTGTATATGTGTCCGCCTCCACGGCATCCATATTAAACAGTTTTGGAGGTGACTGTGCTTCCCTGGATGTCATGAATATAAGAGAAAGCATCCATCTTCGTAGAATACAATTTCACAGGTAGTGACAGTAAAACTGACTCTACCCTCTGACTGCAGACACACAGAGAAAAAGACAGAGTGTGGAGAAGGGAAAGATACAGAAACTCAGACATAGACAGACGAGGCTGCCAGCCATCTTCTGATATTTTAGCACACTGCTAGATTTTCCAGCTGCATCGCATATTAAACTTAGGCTATCATGTTCTCATCGGTTAAATTCCACTAAAGTCAAACCACACTGATTGATTCAGCTTGATTCAACTCATGCTGACCCTATTCTAGCTGCAGCTTCTGTGAAATGGGCCTATTATCAGTTTCAAACTCATCAGAGAAGCATATATTAGGTCACTTTTCAAACTTCATCCTATGCGTAACAAGAAATTATGATTTAAGTGATGCAAAGTCCAATCCAAGCAAAGAAACCAGAAAAACTTTTGGATAAGAAAAAAATATATTTGTAATAAAAATCCTAAAACTAAGAAATGTTAAAGCTGATTGACCTCATTCTAAAAAGATCAGTTTCTGAAAGGGAAAACCCCACGTAACATTTTTTTCTATTAAAAGAGTATTTAAGCAGCCTATACATAAATGAACTACATTTGACATTTAAACTGCACTCAAAAAACTAAATCATTGGCTTTGTAGATATCACAATAATAAAAAGCTATATTACCTTAATAAAATCTCTAAATATCACCAAAGTAATTGTTTGAGTCGGACATACCAAAATAAATGCTTACAAATCCAACAGTTAATTTTGTCTTAAATTATTACTATCATTTAAGTTGATGACACGAAAATAAATGAGTATTTGACTAACAAATTATATTTTTAAGATATCCTTAATATCTTTGGCAAATTTCAGTCAAAATATTTGAGAATTGGCTAATTATACTGATCAGTTTCAGGAACAGCAATTATTACTCATTCCAAATCAATATTCTTCATCTTTAACAACAACTTAAGAAATTGAGTAAATTACACTAAAACGTCATGAGTGGACCCCATTAACAATCGCGCGCAAATGCAGTGTGCTCATGGGAAATCTACTTTTCTATCTGCGCCACATGTGGCAACCGCAACAAGCAAGGAAACACCACGACGAGAACCACCAGGAAAACTCCCTGCAAATCCTGGTAAGTAGCCAGCTAGCAAAAGTTAATGAAATATTGACCCTGACTTTGTGCATATACAACTTTATGGTGTGTAATTATCTAAATACTGTCACACTTGCAGCCATGCTGTCATAGGTCTAGCTAGTTCTCTGTCCGCTTCTACACACGCATGGTGGACACAGTCAACCAGGTGAAGTGAAGCTAACGTTTTACTCAAGTAAAAAGTAGAAACATTAGCACCTGCTTTGTCCGCAGTTGTTGTCTTAAGTACCTAATCAACCAGCTGTCTGTATGTAGCATAGTTAGCTGTTTGTTTTAAGCCCCTTTTACACTGTTATTCAGAAATGCTGTAGTAAAGAAGATCCGCCATTACGTCGACTTTTTAATACTTAACCAGACAATGCCAGCATAATGCTGCCCCAGTGTGTGATATTAGACAGCATGCCGGCCTGACGTGTAACACAACAGCGCCGGCGAATATGTGTGTCTGCATGTCCCGCCATGCCGGAATAACGGAGCAACAGTCTCGCCTTGAACAGGCTGTGAAGGGGGCTTTGCCGCCACACCCGGTTACTAAGCAACGCTTATCGTTTAGGTATCCCTGATAAGGAGGCAGTCATATCATTAACTAAAACTAGCTAGATCTGATCGATATGGACATAAACACGAGTGAAGTATAATCGGGAGAGTGATCAGGTTCTGCAAACTGAGACACGCAGCTCTGCATGATCACCTGCAGCTCTGCCGCTGTGAGGGGACCGGTGAGCAGAGCACACGCTTCAAGTTAGACCTAACACATTTAGCAATCTTATCTACCTCTGGAAGTAACCGAACTAGTTATAAATATGTTTATTCTTTACTTTTGGGTCACTCATTACTGGATTAGCGAGCTGCATGAGACTAAACTGACGGGCTGTCAGGAGAGGGAGAGAGGAAAAGAGAGCACCCTGTTTATTTCTCCCGTGTTATTATCCAAAGTTACTGTACATTTTTGAATAATGTAGTTAATCTACTATTAGTTGTTTGTGTAAATGTATTACTTATATTGTTGATTTTTGTAGAAGCGCCGATAAAAGTATGGATAATACAAAGATAAATGCACCTTGTTTGTGTAAGGTGGCTATTAGTTTATTTGGGTGATTACTGTATCGTGCGAGTGATTTCAGATAACGTCTGCCTACTGCATCCGCGGCCCAGCAGCTGTTACTAGTCTTGCCTATATGCTTATGAAACTGTTTCATCTTTATTATAATAAGGCATTGCATTTTCTTAAGAGGAGTGGCCTACCTGCCCAACTTATGTGTTGTCATATTTATGAGGGAACACTTGATGATGGCTAGAGCAAGTAAAGTTGAATTATTTTGTGAAGCATGTTAAATATTTTCAATATTTGTTTCACAGCACCGACTGCGCTAACGGAGAGAAGTTGAACGAAGATAACAAAACAGAGGAGGTAAATTTCATTATTTTATTAAACACTGAAACAACGGTGCCAACATATTAGTTTGCTTTATACAAGTTTAAGAAATCGGTGAATAAGCTAAATGAGTTGCACCTTGATTTCGACCATGTTTGAGTGCAAAGGCCAGGAAGCACTTGTTAGAAACATAAACAGTGACTATATACAAATATCTAGGACTTGATAATACAAACTGTTACTAATTATTATTATATACTACTCCTGCAATTGAGGATCCTGGCTCTGAACACTGCAACTGCAATCGTTTTTATTGACTGTTTTCCAAATGTTTGTGCAATTACGGTAGATGTTCCATTAACTATAGTTTGGAGTAGATGTAATTATTAGCATCAATGAGTAAATATAATTGGGTGTCATTTTTAAAGCTCTGTATGATAAAACATATTAGTCCAAAAAGTATGTAGGTAAATGGAAGTAGCATTAAACCAGTCTGTTCGCTCCATGTGATAACACTATTTATCCTCACTTTTTTAGGTTGCAGCTTATGGAATGGCAATGTAAGCTCTGCACATGTGTGGCTTCAGCGAAAGGGTCACTTCTCAAGCACTATCGATTGAAGCACGGTACCTTTGGAATCTGGGAGAAGATGCGAGTGCCTTGATCAAGGACTTTGAGGTTAGTACTATGGCTGAAATGATTCCTCAAGTAACTCGATTACTAAAAATTATCGGGCAGTGGGACAGACATACACGCACTCAGTCAAGCAGACAGACAGCGTGGCACAGAGGTAAGGCCGATACAGATGTGCAGTGATCAGTTACAATTATAGTACCCTTATATGTGTAGCCCAGAAGACGTATACCTTTTTTTTTTTGAGTTCTTTGAAATAAAAAAACAATAATTATTAGTTTTTGCATTTCAGAAAATGGGTTCTTTAAAACTTAATGCACTAAATGGGTCTAGTTTTGACATATTATTGTATGCAATTTAAACAATAACAATGTGGATTTTTGTTGTTGTTCATTTTGAGAGGCCGGTCTTATTTTCTCTTTTCTATATTTACTATTGCTCTTTTAATAAAGCAAAATAATGTATTCTCCGATTAATGAATTCATCGTTAGAATACTCTATAGCTGCAGCCCTAGTTAGTACAATAGTTTTCAGGATTTTTAACAGTGTTAGTTTTGAAGTTTTAAATAATGTAATCATGGATGACTGATGACCATGAACATACATAGTGAGTGAGCAGTGAGGAATTGCTCTTTGTGTGTCTTGTAACATGCAGGCTGAAAGTAAGCACTAACCAGTTATCTTTTCAATGTCTGCAGGATGCTGCTGATGCACCTGTCAGTGTACAAGAGGAGTTGGCAGAGGAGGTGATGAAGATGTACCTGCTGCAGAACCAAGATGGGTCAGTCGATGAACCTACTGATGTAGGGATTGTGATTGAGGGCATCCCTGTCCTCAGAAGTCTTAGGGATCTTAGCAGAGCCTGCTGCTATCTGTTGGGACTAACCTATGCCTTGGATCTGAGATACCCCAAGAATCTCAAATATAGTTTTGAGGTATTCCAAAAACTACTGTTGGAGCTGGATCCTGGCAACCTTTCAACCAAGGTTCAGAGACTGAAAAATTGCCTGCATATGTAGTTGCCGACTACTGTTCAACAAGATGCTAAAAGGTACGAGTTGAGAGTTCCATTGATTGAATTGCATTTTGGACTGGTATTGTTGTAAAGTGTCACTGTTCTTGGTGCATTTCAGTCATATGCAGAGTTCAGTTCAGCCCGTTGCTCCCATAGCTCAATGGAAATGTTCACATGCTCATTGGCAAAAATATACCTGGTTGAAAGTTAAGCTAGATAAAATGTCTAAAAGTTTTATTGCTAAATAATCAAATTTGAGATTTCCATTGATGCTAAGATGTCTCTGCTGCAATTGGTCTTGTTGCATTTTACCCGTGTTTAAAAGGACCGCTTAGTTATATGCAGAGCTCAATTCAGCTCATCGTTTTTATAGCTTGGCCATTGTTACCAGGGCTCTCCCTTCTTAGTCGATTAGTTGACTTTATTTGTGGTTTTGGTCGATGAAGATTTCTTTAGTCAATTAGTAATATTTTAATGTATTTTTTTTCATGGTGAATGACTTATTTGTAAGAAACGTATATCTATGAGTGGCCGTTAGGGACATTATTCAGAAATACCATTCACATACACATGTGAAGCACTCTCATACACACAACTGAAACCAAAATCATTTACAAACATATGTAAAAATCTCTCATACACACATGTGAAACGCTCTCACACACATATGAAACAATCTCTTATACACAAATGAAACGCTATCATATACACATGAAATGCGATTTCAGTATGTTGTGTGAGAGGGATTTCAGTTGAAACGGAAGGCATCTCAGTTGATAAAGGAAGTCGATTTCAGAAAAGCAAACACAATATTATGTCCGTTTGCGATTGTTCCATCATGTCTGCTCAGCAACATGCACAAAGCTTAACTGAGGCAGCAGCGTTGTTAAATAATATCCTGGCCTCAGCGGGGTGCACAGTCTCTCCTAAGGGGAGCTGTAGTGGGCCATTGCCTGCCGCGGGACGGGAAGAGGGACGATACATGGTGTTGAGGCCAGGATATTATTTAACAACGCTGCTGCCTCAGCTTTGTGCATGCTGCTGAGCAGACATGATGGAACAATCGCAAACGGACATAATATTGTGTTCGCTTTTTTTAAATTTGCGCTTCTTCGCTGTTTTTTTTAAACGACTTCCATTTCAACTGAAATCCCTCTCACACAACATATCGAAATCGCATTTCATGTGTATATGATAGCGTTTAATTTGTGTATAAGAGATTGTTTGTGTGTGAGAGTGCTTCACATGTGTATGTGAACGGTATTTCTGAATAATGTCCCTAACGGACCCTCATAGATATCTCTGGTAAACACAAGGATTTAAAGTGGTGTTTTTGTGTGATTCTTTGTGAAGAATATGTTGATTTAATCGATTAGTCATCAAATGTGTACGAGTGTTAGTCGACTAAGAATGTATTTTGTCAAGAACAGCCCCTAATTGTTACAAATGTAATATGCAAACTAAACCAGGTTGAGACTTAATGTGATGTGTTATACTGGTCAAATTTGAACAATAAATATGTAATTAAAATGTCAATGTGTACAATTGCTCTTTTGGTTTTATTAGATGTATTGACCTCAGGTAAAGCACTCCTGGAGTAAAGGGTAAATACAGTTAAAAAAATAAGTAAATGTAACACATATATTTATATAATTAATAGTCCAGTTTTAATTAAATGTAGTTAAAAACATCGAGTAAATTTCACACATTTGTTTTGTTAAATAATAGTCTCCTTTTCAGTTACATCTACCTAGCATTTAAGTGATATCTACTAAAAAGAAATAGTGGTTTTGGCTTAGGGTTACTATTGCATTGACTTAGGATTTTAATTATATTTACTCAATTGTATATGTTATGGTACTAAATGTAGTTATTTAGACCCACTTGATTTTTTTACTTACATTTACTCAATTCATAAGGTAAATTTAAATGATTTCACAGCTTTAAGATTGACTCAATATTTTTAAGTGTAAAAATGTTTCACCAATTAAATTGAGTACATCATCGTTTTAGTTTTTTGAGTGTGTGATCCGTTGTGTTTGATTAATTACCTGTAAAAGACACATGCACGTCTTCATTTACCATGATTTTTCATTAATGGTGTGAAACGGAATCACAAGTGGGAACTTTCACAATTATACCTGGTGTATCACTGTGTATAATTAATCTCATTTACTAATCAAGGGGAATTCCTCCTGTTTCACATGAAAAAGTCACAGTATTTAACACTAAGCTAATTATCTTAATCATGTAGGAGATAATGAAGTAATTAGGGTAATTAAATCCCAATTAACGACTAAAGATGAAGTGATTATTTCATCCACAGAGACAGTGGTGGGTTAAAGGGAAATAACATAAAATGAGCTTTACATTGCCGATACAAAAATAAGGAAAAAACATCAAGGACATGACAAAAAGCAATGAGAAATAAAGAATTAGTTTAGGAGAATGGGGGCATGACTATAGTAAATGACAGCTGTCTGGAGGCCATCATTCTCTTTTAAGATGGAGGGAGATACTCCTTTTGTCACAGCCAATCATTACAGCCTTGAACATAAGCAGGGAAAACAATGTCAAGTTCAGGTTGAAAGAACAAAGTATCCAGGAGGCAGAAAAAAATTGCACCAAAAGGAACATGGCTCACATGTGAAAACAGCTGTGCTGACAAGCAGCAGAACCCAGATGCAGAGAGGAACACCAGCGATAGTAACTGGCTCCTGCCATGTGAGAGTCGAACCAGGAGGAAACATTACCGTACATGTACGCTCTCCGCTCTTGTTTTCTGCTCTTTGCAGCGTTCACAAGAAGAAAAACACGGTTTTCCTCCTACCAAATTTCCTGCATCTCACAAAACATTTTGCCTGTAAAAAAAATAACTAACGTCCATGCAAAAATGTGTTTTCTTGAAGTGTACACACTGTTCCAGTTTCAGTCAATTCACCTCTAAATGATTTACATGTAATTCACAAAAGGGTTAGACATTTTACCACCATGTAGTATTTTAGGACTCTATTTCTGTTGCTTTTGTGAGTTCAAGCATGCTTCCAGCTTGATTTTATTGAGAATTGTTTTTGTCTGTGTGTGTTTGTTTTATTCCCGGGCTCGGTTGTGTGACTCTCTGACCATTGCTTTCGCTTCAGCGGGAATCTCCAGGACTTAGAACACGCTCCATGGGCATGGGTTGATGAAAAACATGAGTGACAAGATTCATGGCTATCAGAGCAGCTGATGAAAATGGTAAGGCGAGAGAAGGATTCAAAAAAATGAACCCTTCTCTCTTATGTTTTTTATTTCCATTCAAAGGGGAGACAGAAGATGAGGAATACAGATATGTCAGGGGACGGAGAGAATAAGAAATAAATAAACACACTGCCCCCCCTCTCCTTTTGTACCTAAACCCACAATACACATCCCATGTCAGAATCGAAAAAAACAGAACCAAAATAAATTACCTTTTGGATTGGACACCAAGATTACACAAACATGAATTCATGAAATGGGGAATTCAATTATAGTTACAATTAAGATTTGTAAAAAATGTAAAAGGTAAACCTAATTTAATATGATAAAAGAGAATAATAATTGAAAAACAGTCCACATCTTATTTACACATAAAAGCACTTTGATTAAATATATTTAAAATGTATTTTGAATATTAAATAAATGTAAATGATTGTTTATGATCATTTAAGTAATTTTTGCCAGAACCTAAATTCTCCAAGGAAGGAACACACCAGAATATTTGTTCTTATGTACGTTGGATTACATTGGTGGCGTATTCTCTGTACTGCAAAGTCAAGCATGATTCCATCACGCTCGACTTTGCGGACACTAGAGATTTATTCCGATCGGGCTGTGACTTTGGCAGTTCGGCCAGTGCTAAAGCATAACAGCCTCTTTCACTCTCAGCTCCCTATCGGGGTCAACTGATTCCTACCAGATGCATCTGTAGTACATAAAAAACACCATAAGACTCAGCCAGGGGGAAGTCCCTGTTTAAATAAGCAGTAAAGCATGTCAACATTTAAAAAAGAGGTAAAGTAAGATGTCATAATTAAATAGAATTTTGATTTGTGACAAAAACATCAAGTAAATTGTTTTGGTAAACAAAATAATTACAAGTAAATAGTTTGCACTTCAGCTTTTTTATGATTGTTTTCATTAGAAAAAAAGAATTTGCATAAAAAAGAACATTTATAATTTGTATTGTTTTATATTGATTTTTTTAAATATAATTTGTGACATCTTTATTAATTTAAGATTTAAAAGTACCCCTTTAAATAAAAAATGTAACCTAATACAGTATATACATATAGATACCACTTGATATATAAATATATTCTTGAATTGTTTAACCATCGGTTGGAAGAAAAATAAAGTGTATGCGCACACTACTGTATTAACACAATGAAAAACTTGAGATAACATGCAGTTGACTACAATGTGAAATAGGTTAGAAATGGCACACGTCACAACACCTGTGCTACAGCCGGCTGAATTGGTGCTTCAGCGAGGGGCGAGGGGCTCCAGGGACAGAGGGAGGAAATGGCTGCTGTGTTTGTGTGAGAGGAGGTTAGCAGAGGGGCACGCTGGATTCTGCTGTGGCCCAGATTTTCTCCAATCCCTTTTGTCTGTTCACTCCATGTTTGAGTGGCTTTACAGAGACATTGCTTTTATTGTGTCCACTCATGAAAAACCAAAACGCAAAAACACCTCCAGCATTCACTCTGAAGACAATGCTCACAAAAGCATTGAGGAAATGAGTGACCAACCAGGATCAACGCATCAACAATGTGCTATAGTTATTATCAGCTGTTCTAAATGACATCTTGCTGATAATGAATACCTCCCCACATGTTGAAACCTCAAAGAAAACGTTCTCAATCTGTAATGCAACTCCCCTCACAATGTCCGGATGGAAGACCACAGAGGTAAATCTGACAGCTCCGAGATGCAGGCAAACTAAACATCTGTGTGTAGATAACTCTCCAAAAACAGGCACAGAGGAAAGCATAAGCTCTCTGTTCTGATCTGGAGGCCAATAGATGCACATCCCAGGCCAGATGTTATATAGTGACTGTGCACCACAGTATAAATACACAGTGTGGTATCCCTCAGTGCCACCTTCTGTCTCCAGAGGGTCACTAAATACTAAATACACAGGTTCAGTAGCCCCTTCCCCAGTTCATAAGGCAAGGTGCAAATACCAGAGCGATACTGCTTCCAATGTACTGCAGGTCTCCCTTGAAAAAGAGATCGTTGATCTCAATGGGATTTTTCACCTGGTTAAATAAAGGCTACAAACAAACAAACAAACTCAGGTTTTCAATGTAAACTAAATTGCTCTACAAACAAGAGAGGTGAATAACTTATACCCAATTGGGCGTTTTGGATTTTAAAATATATTATAAATAAGATAACCATAAAATATATGGTTCTTTTTGTAATGCATCCAGAAAAAGAATCAATGAAAAACAAAAAATGACATTAAAAAAAAACATAATATATAGCCAGTCCATATTTAAAAAACAAACACAGATATATTGCTAGTCATTTGACATCTTCTAAACCTAAAATGCCATTAAAACGACTGAATAATATCGGAGCAGTATCAGTGGTCTTTCACCGAGCCTTGCGTACACAAGCAGGTTCCATTACTTTTAGTTAACTATGAAGGCTTCTCTCAGATGGGAATCTACCAAAAGAACATCTTGCAGAAAATAAAAGGCTGAGTGCTGCAGGTGAAGCCATATTCACGGTGTAATTCTTTAAACTCACAGAAAGGTTGTAAAAAAATTGAAGGACCAAGAGGGAGAGGCGCAAGGAGAGAAAACATAACAGATA